AGGGTTTAGGGTTTAGGGTTAATTCACATGAGGCGTTGGGTTTACGGTAATATTTGTTGAAAATCTCAGGGTAATATTATGGCACAATTACCCTAAGCCAACCCCTAAACCCTAAACCCTATAAACCCCAAACCCTATAAACCCTAAACCGTATAAACCCTGAACCCTGAACCCTAAACCCCTAAGCCCTAAACCACTAAACCCTAAACCCAAAACCCTAAACCCGAAACCCTAAACCCCAAACCACTAAACCCGAAACCCTAAAAGCCTTAAAACCCTTGAAAAACCCTAAAAACCTCAAGAACCAAAAACACCCTAAACACCCCGAAACCCTTTTCTAAGGCTGCCACCTGGAGGATTGCTCCCCTGGCCGGAGGTGTGGGTCAGCAGGTGCCGCGTCGTGACCTGCTACGACAGGGGTTTCGCGTCTTGGCCTTGCGATATTGGGTTTAGGGTTTAGGGTTCAGGGTTTACAGTTTAGGGTTTAGGGTTCAGGGTTTAAGGTTTAGGTTTAGGGTTTGGGGTTTAGGGTTTAGGGTTTAGGGTTTAGGGTTTAGGGTTTAGGGTTTAGGATTTGCAACCCCTCTAAACCTTATATTCTAAACCCTAAAACCTAAATCCTAAACCCAAAGTCCTAAACCCTGAACCCTAAATCCTAAACCCGAAGTCCTAAACACTAAACCCAAAGTCCTACACACCCTAAATCCTAAATCCTAGGTCCTAGACCCCAAACCTTAAATCCTAAACCCTAAGTCCTAAACGCAAAACCCAAAGTCCTGAACCCGAAACTCTTGCCAATCCCATATAAACCCCAGAACCTTCAACTGTAGACCAACATCTTCGGAGCTTTGGATCAAAAAGGGCGCTGTAGGAGAAATTCTTTGGGGTTTAGGGTTTAGGGTTGAGGGGTTTAGGGTTTAGGGGTTCGGGTTTAGTTTAGGGTTTAGTGTTTAGGGTTTAGGGTTCAGGGGTTCTAGAAAGGATACAGAGGTGTGCTCGGGGTTCTATAACGGGATTGAAAAGGGTTTTAGGTCGGTTTAGAGCTCGAGGGTGAACCGGTGGCTCCAATTCCCTAGCGGTTGAAGGGATACATAAGTAGCGTAGAGGCCGTAAGAATTAGAACAGGGCCTTGGGCTCCTTTAGAGTAATTACAGGAATATGGAGGCACCCTACGGAATAGTAATAGTAATTTCTTAGGCTTCTATAGTAAGTACAGTAGAAGCCCAAAAGTTGGAAACCCAATAGCCTCAATCCTTAAGAGGAATGTATAAGCAATCTCAGCACTAATTGTCCTTAATCCGGTTTCCAACTTTTTGTGGTTTACCATACGGGCAAAGCCTACTTACCCCGAGGCCTTGGGCCAAAACTTGTTGTTCTCGCCCCAGTTCGCGTGCGGAGTGACCTTTGGTATCGGCTGAATGCTCAGGGACCGCAGCTTAGGATCGGTCACAAAGAAAAGGACGAGAGAGAGAGAGAGAGCGTGAAAGACAGAATGCAGGAGGGTTTAGGGTTTAGGGTAAAACACAAACAAACGACAAAAGCAGCAGAGAGAGAGAGAGAGACAGAGACAGAGAGAGGCGGGAGCGAGTGAGAGAAAGGGTAGTTTGTGTGTCGATAAAAACATGTAAATACATTCATACACGTAAATACGTAAAATAAACATGGCCATACATACGGCATATGCAAGATAGACAGAAAGATGGATAGCTAGTTAGTTAAATAGTTAGTTAGTTAGATAGATAGATAGATAGATAGAAAGATAGATAGATAGATAGGCGGATAGATGGATAGATAGATGGACAGATGGACAGATGGATAGATTGGTAGGATAGATAGATAGATATGTAGATAGGTAGGATAGATAGATAGACTAGCAAAATTAGATAGGCAGATTCTTAGATAGATAGATAGATAGATAGATAGATAGCTAGATAGATTAACAGATAGATAAGCAGATTCATACATACCCAGATAGATAGACTAGCTAAAATAGATAGGCAGAGCGATAGATAGATAGACAGATAGGTAGAGAGCTAGCTAGATTGGTAGATAGACACACAGGGATTGTAGATGGATAAATGGACGGGTTGCTAGCCGTATAGAGCGATAGCCAGATAGGTGGATAGAAAGATAGAGAGAGAGATATGGAGCGAGTGAGAGAGCGAGAGCAAGAGTTGATCGGGATAGGTACTCCCACGCATACATGTAGGTAGATATCTCGATGAAAATAGAGGTGGGTACACCGACGGATACGTAGATTCGTTGGATAAACCTATAAATCGATAGGTGCAAGCGTAAACCGATAAACAGATAGATAGGTCGTTGGATGGATACGCAGATCAAAGAGAGTGACAGATAACGATAGATAGGGAAACATCGGCAGACGGGTGAGAGAGAGACAGACAAATAGATCGATAGGTTGAGGAATTGATCGAAATAATTACAAAAGACAGAGAAAACATTTACATGGACAATGCTAGATGTGAAGAAAGACAGATAGAGCGACAGATTGCCAGATTGTTAGATCGAGAACACATCCGATAGATAGACAAATCCGTAGACACAAACGCGGATAGATAGATAGCTAGATGGATAGATAGACAGATAGATGGATAGATAGATAGATGGATAGATATTTAGATAGACAGATAGATAGCTACGCAGATAGATAGATAGATAGATAGATCGATAGATAGATAGATAGACACATACACGGACAGATAGATATATAGGTAGGTAGACAGATAAACAGGTAGAGATATATAGATAAATAGACAGATAGATAGATAGACAGATAGGTAGATAGTTAGATAGATAGTTTGATAGGTAGATAGAGAGATAGGTAAATAGATAGATAGCTAGATAGCTAGATAGATAGATAAATAGATAGATAGATAGGCAGATAGATGGACATATATATATATATATATAGGTGATAGATAGATAGATGGATAGATAGATAGATAGATAAACAAATATGTAGATAAATAGATAGGTGGATAGATAGATTGATAGATAGATAGGTAGGTAGGTGGGTAGGTACATAGGTAGATAGATAGATAGATAGATAGATAGATAGATAGACAGAGATAGATAGATAGATAGATAGATAGTTAGATGGAAGTCATAGTTGGATAGGTAGATAAGTAGACAGATAGGTTGTTAGACGGACGCATCATGATGGTTCGATAGACAGATGGATGTCGATAGAAGGTTAGGTACATTGGCAGATAGGTAGGCAGGTGGGTAGATAGGTAGATCGGTAGGTACGTAGGCAGGCAAGTAGCATTATGCACAGACATACATCTCCTTTAAGCGTCCCCATGGGTTTAGGGCTTTACGTCTGAGTCTAGGGATTTGTGGTCATTTCGGGCTTGGGGTGGAGAGCCAAGACTTGAGCAAAGAGTCATTATACTCCGCGAGCGGCAAGTCCAAGTCGATTTTTCCTTGTGTTACCTCGGCCGCAGGGCTTCGATAACCCTCATCCAGTTTAGGGTTTAGGGTTTGGGGTTCAGGGCTTATAAGAACCTGTGTAGATCCCTCCCCAAACCCGCAAAAACCCTGAAAGGACGCTTCCAGCCTCCTGAGCTAAGGTATGAATATCCAGCCACCTAGATCCAGCCCAACTTCTTCCAACTTACGAGCGAAACTGAACATCAGTTTGTCGTTATGTATATGCAAGCAAGCATATGATAATAAACTTATGTGTGCTTACTGTTCATATGTGCATATGCATGATAGATGTACTAGTATTGAATGTTATAGATATCTACATTTGTGTATACCTATAGATTTTGTGTTGTTGAAGTATTTATCTATTCAGGGAATGTACTAATTAGTTCTGGTGTTGTTTCAGCGATTTCAGTGCAAAGCTTAGCAGTCACTCTGGATGACAACTTGATGTGAAGTCCAGGCACTTGGCGCAGGACTCAGATACCCCCGACACGAGTGGCCAGGGGTGGCCGTTCTCTGCCTCACATGCAAGCCCAAACCGCGATCTAAGCTGCGAAACCCCAAGCAGCCTCCGGAAAAGAAGTCCCGAACCCTGAACCCCAGGGCAGTCCGTCTCTTCGAAGTTGGAAGACCAGGTGCCAAAATTCCAATGAGCAGGGCAGTGATGGTCTTCGAAGCGCTGTCCTGACGGTTACGGAAGCTACGGGGTTTGACATGCGACGAAACGGCCAGAACCTGGACTCGAAATCCCTAAACCCTAAGCCCTACATCGGGGGAGCAGCTTAACCTTTCAAAAACCTTATAATCCAGCCCTAAATCCCAAACCCCCTGGGCCTGAACTCCTCCAACCCCCAAAAACTACATCTAAACCCTGCCTGGGCCCCGAAGAACCTACCTTTGTAAGGACTTATATATGAGGAACTCATAGTAAGGGAGCGCTATGAAAAGAAGTAGGCTTTTTTTCGGGTCCAGGTGAGCCCTAAATGGTCAGAAACCGGTGGGTCGCAGGACCTTCTTCCTCGAAAGGGCATGGGGTTTAGGGTTTAGGGTTTAGGGTTTCGACGGAAGGAATGCCGCGATGACAGCAGGTGTGCGGATTGGGGGTTACAGGCCGAAATTTTCTACAGATCGAAGGGCTACAGTATACCCTACAACCAAGGGGGAAGAACCTACAATGTTGTAGGGTTTGGGGCTACATTAAACCCTAAACCCTAAACCGCCCTAAACCCTAAACCCTAAATCAACCAACCAATCTAAAGCCTAAACTGTTCTTGACTTCTACGAGAGTTTGGAATACCTGTCTGGTGCATAGTAGGGAATGGGGGAATGGATCCCTATGATAGTCCCTTAAGGTCCCTTATAGTAGGCCCTATAACCCATTCCCCCATTCCCTACTAAGCACCAGACAGATAAACCCTAAACCCAAAACCCCCGAAGCCCTAAACCTTAAAACCCCAAACCAACCAACCAACCTAAACCCTAAACCCTAAACCCTAAACCCTCAACCCTAAACCCTAAACCCTGAACCCTAAACCCTAGACCCTAAACCCTATTACCAGACAGATAAGGTGTAACGGGGGGCTCAGCATGTTGCCGGCTCTGGAGGTGCTGTGTTGACCGGCTCTTGAAACAACAAGACGTGATTTCGAGCTGGGGTTTAGGGTTTGGGGTTTAGAGTTTAGGTTTGGGGTTGAGGGTTTAGGGTTTAGGGTTTAGGGTTTAGAGTTTAGGGTTCAGGGCCAGTTCAGGGTTCGGGTTTGCATTCAGCAAGCACTTTTTTTATGTGCCCGTCGGTACTTCTGTACACTTATACCTCTGTCCGCCCCTTATTCATCGTCACTGCCGACTCGTGCCTGTACTTCCTCAGAACTGTGTGCCGTTCTTCTGTCTGGTGCTTAGTAGGGACTGGGGGAATGGGTTATAGGGACTACTATAAGGGACCTTAACGGACTATCATGGGGATCCATTCCCATTCCCTACTAAGCACCAGACAGTCTTCGGAGAATGGTAATCAAAGAGAAGCGCGGTGCCAAGGCTCGACGTTCCGGCTTCCAGGATCTTGGAAAGGGGTCCTAGAGTTTAGGGCACTTAATGTAGGGGCCTTCATAATTAGAATAGTGTTTTGGGATCCTTTATAGTATATTTATCATAAGGAACCCTAACAACAATATTGGTAACTATTTAGGCCCCTACATTAAGTGGCATTATTGTACCATATTTGCAAGACTAAGTCATGCACTCCGCAGCATGTGGAGGCTGGGAGCGAGCGTAAGCAGTCGATGTCGACCAACGTGGAAACAATAAACTGCCATTCATATTAACGTTAAACCCTACCCTAAACCCTAAACCCTAAATCCTAAACTCAGATAAATGTAAACCTGAACGTTGAATCCTCAACCCTAAACACCAGGACGCAACAAGCCCCTGAAGGTACATTTTGCCCCTGAAATAAGTAACCCCTAGGAACCCCTCTTTACCCTAAACCCTAAAACCTAAACCCCTAAACCCTAAACGCCTAGGAACCCCTAAACCCTAAACCCCTAAACCCCTAAACCCTAAACCCCTAGGAACCCCCTTTAAGGGCCGGAGACGTCTTTGTCCGAGCCATGCGGCTGTCTCCAGCAGTGCATCCGGGTTGGTGCCGTAGAAGTACCGCTCCTGGGCTTTCCAAAAAGCGGGGTCTAGGGTTCAGGGTTTATAGGATTTAGGGTTCAGGGTTTCGGGTTTAGGGTTTAGGGTCTAGGATTTAGGGTTTAGGGTTTAGGGTTCAGGGTCTAGGGTTTAGGGTCTAGGGTCCAGGGTTTAGGGTTCAGGGTCTAGGGTTTAGGGTTTAGGATTTAGGGTCCAGGGTTCAGGGTTCAGGGTCTAGGGTTTAGGGTTTCGGGTTTAGGGTTTAGGGTCTAGGGTTTAGGGTTTAGGATTTAGGGTCTAGGGTCCAGGGTTTTGGGTTCAGAGTCTAGGGTTTAGGGTTTAGGATTTAGAGTCTAGGGTCCAGGGTTTAGGGTTCAGGGTCTAGGGTTTAGGGTTTAGGGTAGGGGCCTTTATAATCAGAATAGGGTTTGGGGGGCTCCTTGTTATAATTATAGTATCATATACCCCCCAACCCCTATTCGAATAATTCAGGCCCCTATCTTACAGCGAATGCCAGAAAGTTGGAACATGGGTTTAGGATGATCCGTGCTAGGATCTGCTATATCTTACCTTAAGAGCATGTGGATTATGATGTTCCAACTGTATGGCTGGCTTTATAAGGCTTTTGGTGTTTTTATGTTGTAGCCCCCTTTCTCCTCTCAGATTTAAGGTTTGCCGTTTGCTAGAAATTAAAGCCTAGGGTTTACCCAGACCCCCCAACTATACCCTCTACTATAGCGCCAAATACGCAGTATTGACGACCATAAAGGGCTCTATTAAAGGGCCATTGGGGGGTCCTGGTAAGTTTATGGGCATTAAGGTTCAAGATTAGGGTTTGGGGTTTAGTTGAAGGCTTAAGATACAGGAGGTGAGGCTTAGGACACCTTGGAGTATCAGCAGGGGCGTGGGCTGCTCGCAACTATGATAGGAAAAATAACGCGCAACTATATATCTAGATTCTAGATTTGAAGCTCGCGATCATCTCTAATTTCATAGGGGTTTACAATTCATCTTGCGATGAGAGGGGAAATCTAAATGACGTTCGCTGTAGATGCTTTCGATTTCAGCATTGATAGGAGCATCCACTACCACTGCAGGTGTCTCAAAAGAAACCCTCAACCCTGAACCCGAAACCCTAAAGCCTAAAAGCTAAACCTTAACCCTAAACAGAAACTTATGTTCGGATATTCAATGCCCCTAAGGGTCCACATACCCAAACAGTAGGGTTTCAAAGCCAAGAAAGCATTCAGAGTATGGATTTTGGGACCTAAAACCTTACTGTTTGGGTACTCGGACCCTCTGGGTGTCAGACTTTCTCCGATCTGGCTTCCGTCCAAACACAAACCTCCAAGTTCACGGCGGGACTTCTGTTGGTCCAACCGCGAAATGCCGGATTCAAGACTGCTGGCCGGGTTTAGGCTAAACCCTAAACCCCTACCTTAAGAACCCAAAACCTACTTTTTTGTAGGGTCCCTATAAATCCCCATATTAGGGTTTATAATAGGAACCTACAAAAAAGTGGGTTTTGGGTTCTTAAGGTATACCCTAAACCCCTAAACCCCTAAACCCTAAACCCCTAAACCCTAAACCCTAGGGCTGCCCCGACGACACAGCAAGTTAATGCTCCAAGTCTCGTAAACCAAACGGCCTTCATGAGCCACCTGGAACAGGCCAAAGACTGCAAAGAGAACCCCAGAACTCTGTCTCCCCATCGGGGTAAAGACCGCGTAGACGACCTGTAAACTAAACCCTAAACCCTAAACTCTGAACCCTAAACCCTAAACCCTAACCCTAAACCCTAAACCCCAAACCCAGCAAACTCTTCGTCACTGGTGCCAGTTCACGAAGGTTGCAGGGGCAGGTGCTCCTGCTTGGATCTGCTTCAGCTTTGGACTATCACATAGGGTTTATAATACCCCGAAAAAGTTAGTGAAAGGTTAACTACTTTACTGCTGAGTGCAGGGTTTATGCTTTATAAGGTTACCTACTTTACTGCGTTTATGTGGTGGCGGTTTAGGACGTCGGGTCGGGAGTTGGAGTTAGACGGAGTACCATTAACCTGCAGGAGTTTACGTGTCCGAAATTTAAGACCCTGCCCTAAGGGTCCAAAAGACCCAATAACCAGGTGCTCGGGTTTAGGGTAGTAGTTATGTTGTTGTTTTGGAGAGTGTATGATAGCTAGGTACTTGGGACTTAAGGGCTAGCGGCTAGAGTCATCCGCCTTTCAAGCCGGTGTAAGCCCCAACCTCTACACCTCTGTCCCTGTATAGGCCTCTGCTATCAACCCTATCGCCCCTCAAGCACCCAGAGACTGATTTTCAGCCCGAATCGCGAAGCCCCTACAAGCCATGGACTCTAGTCGCATAGTCGCATGAACCCGATAGTTCATTCAAAAATACACCAACAACGGAACATATTCAACATCACCGTTATGGGCAATAGTAGGAGTATGTAATCAGGTGCTATACGGGTGAATAATTGCTGCATATTCCTAAACCTTTACAAAAAAGCAAGAAACCCTTTATTCAACACAAAGTTGTTCAAATCCCTTTACTATACCTGCCAAACTGCCAAACTCTCGTAAAGCAAGTCAGACCCTAAACCCTAGTAAAGCAAGCCAGAGGACCAGAATGCAGCTCCGACCGGGGAACTGCCGAAAAAGCTTCTGGGTTCCTGTGTTTAGGGTTTAGGGTTTAGGGTTTTAAGGTTTAGGGTTTAGGGTTTTGTTTTGTTTTTTGGCGGTCATGCTTGTGCAGTCAGCGGGTTTAGGGTTTTAGGGTCAGGGCTTGGCTGTTGCAGAAATTAAGCTGCTGCAGGTTGAGAGTTGACGGTTCAGGCGTTTAGGGGTTTAGGGTTTGGGGGTTAGTACCCTAAACCCTAAACCTTAAACCCTATAGACCCTAAACCCTAAACCCTAAACCCTGAACCCTAAACCGTAAACCCTATAGACCCTAAACCCTAAACCCTGAACCCTAAACCCTGAACAGTTAGGGCGGAGGATACTTGAAAAGGACATCGTAACAAAGATTGTTGTGATCACGGGCTTGGGGCTGCTGGGTTAGGGTTTAGGGTTTAGGGTTTAGGGTCTTTAGAAGGATCGGGTAGAATTTGGGTTTGCCGGTAAGGGTTTAGGCTTTGGGGTTTAGCTTCAACCATGCTCATTCCTTTCTTGCCCTGCTTTGTCCTTCTTGCACATGACAGGAAGGCTTCGGACTATTAGTCGGTCCCTAAACCCTCAGGGCCTTAGTAATTAGAATAGGGTTTGGAGGTATACTAGACTATAACTATCAGGAGGAACCCCCAAAATATTATAGGTAATTACGAAGGCCCCTATAGTAGACACTACATCCCCAACCCTAAACCGTGTTTGAGGTTCAGGGTCGTGTGCTCTCATCCGTTATGCTCTCCGTGGGGATTCGGGAGTTTGCGGGTCGTAGGGTTCAGGGTCTGAGGTTACCGTAAGGCCGAATGTCCCCAAGGCCTCAAGTGATTCAAACTTCTGAAAACCCATGGTTTGGGAAGGCTCATGGGGTGTATGCTGTATGGTGGGTTCAGGACACGCCGCAATACCATCATAATGAGAGTTTCAGAAAATGGCGTAAATCCCTATTAGTTACCTGAAAGGCGTTGACAGAGCCACTCGTCGTTTCAATAAGCCCCTGCATTTTCCCAGAAGCCGAGTTGCCGACGCCTTGGGTTACTATGCCATGGTCACATTTAGCAGGACAGCAAGCAATGTGTAGTGAAAGCAGATCACCCATAAACTCCCTAAGCCCCAAACCCTCAACTTTCCAAACTCCTAGCCCCTGAACCCATAACCCTCTAAACCCCTAAAGCCCCAAAGCTAAACCCTAACCCTTAAACCCCTGACCCTCTAAACCCCTAAAGCCCAAAAACCCTAAACCCAAACCCTCTAAGCCCCTGAACCCCTAAACCCTAAAACCCTAAAACCCAACCCCCCTAAGCCCCTGAACCCCTAGGCCCCTGAACCCCTAAACCCTAAAACCCTAAAACCCTAAAGCCCTAAACCCAACCCCCCTAGGCCCCTGAACCCCTAAACCCTAAAACCCTAAAACCCTAAAGCCCTAATCCCAACCCCCCCTAAGCCCCTGAACCCCTAAAGCCCCAACGGGGCATCTGGGCTTCCAGAAGAATTCACCCCACGCTCCTTCGTCAAAGCGCTTGGTTCCTTCCTGAGCTCCCGGAGTGCTTCAAGGTTTAGGGTTTAGGGTTTAGGGTTTAGGGTTTAGGGTTTAGGGTTTAGGGTTTAGGGTTTAGGGTTTAGGGTTTAGGGTGGGCTTCAAAGGAAAGTACAGGTGGGGAGTTTAGGGAGGTTCCTTTAAGGATTCTACAATTGCTCCTATAAGGGTTTAGGGTTTAGGGGCGCTTAATAATAAGAAGAAGGTTTTTGTTAAAGGAAACAACAGGTGGGGAGATTCGGGCATATAAGGCTGCTAGAAAGCTTTCATAAGGTATACAGACCTTCTATAAGGCTCCTATAACGGTAACTACCCACCTGAAAATGTCCTGGAGGGCTTCAGATTCGAATTCAAGCGCCTAAGTTACTGAGGTATCAGACTTTGGGTTTGGGGTTTGGGTCTCAGGATTCGGGTTTAGGGTTTAGGGTTTAAGGTTTTAGGATCGGGGTTTAGGGTTTAGGGTTTAGGGTTTAGGGTTTAGGGTTTAGGGTTTAGGGTTTAGGGTTTAGGGTTTAGGGTTTTAGGATCTGGTTTTAGGGCTGTTTTTTGGTTTAGGGCTTAGGGAAATGTAAGTGTTAATGAGCTTTGGGTGTCAGCGGCTTGAGGACGTTAACAGCGATGCAAGCAGCGAGGACAAGCCATGTCTTTGAATTCACCTTTGTCTACTTGCGATTGCCTGTGGCATGGAACAAAGTTAACCAGTAAAACCTATAGACCCTAACCCTAAACCGTATGAGCGCATCCACAATGGCTTCAACCCCGGATGGCTTTGCGATGTCATGCTCATGTTTTTTGGCAAATGCAGGTGCATATGCCTGAAATTAGTCTTTTCATTATCTCGGCCTGTTCGCGTCTGGGCAGTCGCTACAATCCTCAGCCCAGACCTCAGCAGGGGCTCTAGAATATCGTGTTTAGGGTCTAGGCTTCAAGGCTTCGTTTTGAGGGCTTACCCCGTGCATTAACTTTAGAAGTTACTAAAACCTAAGAACATGCCTGTAGTCACAGTCGGATTCCTTATTCTTGACTGGGAAAGGGTGTTCGAAATCCCCTACTTCAGTCCCGAACAATAAACCTTAACCACAAAAACTTAGTTCAATCCTAAACCCTAAACCCCATAACATCCTAAACCCTAAACCTCCATTTAATCTTGAACATCCATTCAGGGATCCTGGGAAAACACCAATTTTCCTTAAAAACCTTGGTAGGACCCCTTTAGAGCCCCTATCAAAATATAAGACTTATCATAGAACCTTAATGTAGGTGCCTTAATAATTAGAACAATAGGGTTTTGGTTTTGGGGCTCATTATACCATAACTATAACAAGGACCCCCCCTCCCCCCCCAAAAAAAAAGAACAAGTATAGGTAATAATTTAGGCCCCTATATTATAGGGGTTTGGGGCTTAGGACTTTAACTGGGATCCTCGGGTCTAAGAAGTTTCAGTCACGTCTCCGGCTCCGCGGCAACATCAAAAGGCATCGCCGCATTCAGCGCGACAGGTCGGCGTGGGAATTCCGGGGTTTAGGAGTATGGGGTTCGCGGGTTTTTGGGTTTTTGGGGTTGGGGTTTAGGTTGTTGGGCCGCAGAATATAGGGTGCAGGGTTCAGGGTGTAGGGTCTTATGAGGGCATCTGACCGTTGTTGAGGGCTTGGGGTTGAAGGTTCTGGCTCAGGGTAACGAGTCCAAGAGTGCAAGGTTGATGTGCGACTGTATGGAGGCTTCCGAAAATCCTCTTGTTTTCGGAAACCATTGGGCACTGTAGTCACTCAGGCTCCTTGGACGTATAGGGCTAAAAGTATCTTATGGGAATATCATAGTCATCGTCTACTCTGGGTTTTCTAAGCGCATTCGCACATTGAAGGCTCCTGACAGCCAGGGCTACTGCGGTTGCTGCTGGTGTGACGATTTTTGGCTTTGCAGCTCGAGGCCTAGGGCTGTTATGCCACGGTTTAGGGTCTAGGGTCGAGGGTCGAGTTAGAGTCTAGGGCTTGAATTTAAGGTTTAAGTGTTTAAGGCTAGTGTAGTCGTATAGCGGGACTTTAAAGTGGAAATATTACTACGCATTCGGTTGTCTATAAGTCCATATGATCATATGTGCTAAGGCATCTCGACCCGTTCCTTTTGGATTTAGTGTTGAGGGCTTGGGGTTGCGGATTTAGGGATTAAAGTTCAAGTTTTAGGATCGGCCCTGATCATGCGAGGATCCGACTACTTGGGTTGAAAGTCGCTTATTCTATTAACTCCTCATGTTCAGATTCGAAAGCTCTTTGAGGTTGTCTTGAACTTGGCGTAAACCCTACCTATAGTCTCCATTCCAGTTCATTTTGATGGTTTACTTCAATTGATTCATATTTAGGATCTTCAATGGTAACCCAAAAAAGGAACTACAATGGAGACTGTAGGATACTGTAGGTAGATACAAATGCCTTAAACCCTAGACCCTAAACCTGAAAGCGTCTTAAACCCTAAACTGGCACCCCTCGTTTTCTGAAACTGCCACATCCTAAACCCTGAACCCCTAAACCCTAAAACCCCGAAACCCTAAACCCTAAAACCCTTAAACCCTAAACCCTAAACCTCCCCGAACCTTTTCACTCTGTCGCGGGAGCCCAATGAGACGAGCGAAGCACGTCTGAAGCGAAGGCCTCCAAGCCTCGGATATTTTGGGCGGTTGGGGTAAGGGGTTTAGGATTTAGGGTTTAGGGTTTAGGGGTTTAGGGTTTCGGGGTTTTAGGGTTTAGGGGCTTGTGGAGTTTAGGGTTTAGGGTTTTTGGCGTTTGGGGGTTTGGGGTTGAGGCCCCTCCAGGAGTTGGGCATTACATCCTAAAGCCCTGAACCCAACCCAAATCCAAAACCCGAAACCCTGAACCCGAAACCCTACAGATCCCTTACGGAACCCTTTAAAGGAACCCTTAACCCCACAGATCCCTTAAAGAATCCTTGAAAGGAACCCTAAACCCTACAGATCCCTTAGAAAACCCTCTAAAGGAACCCTAAACCCTACAGATCCCTTAAAGAATCCTTGAAAACAAGCCCAAACCCTACAGATCTCTTAAAGAACCCTTGAAAGGAACCCTTAACCCTACAGATCCCTTAAAGAACCCTTGAAAGCAAGCCCAAACCCTACAGATCCCTTAAAGAGCCCTCAAAGGAACCCTAAACCCTACAGACCCCTTATAAAACCCTTGACAGGAACCCTCAAAGGGATCCCAAGCCGTTTTTGAAACCAGGCTCCGGGTCTTATGGAACCGACAAAGCCTACCATTGAAAACCTAATTAGGGGTTTAGGGGTTCAGGGTTTAGGGACTTAGGGTGTTAGGGTTTAGGGTTTTATTTAAGGGTTTAGGGTTTCGGGATTTAGGGGTGTTAGGGCTTCGGGGTTTTAGGGTTTTGGGGTGTTAGGGTTTCGGGATTTTGGGGCTTTAAGGCTGGGGTTGAGGACACCCGAGACCTTTTCGGAACCCTCATGCGTCCAACCCTCAACTCGTGAAAACCGGATCAACCGCTTGCAAAAACTTGAATCAAAAACCCTGCAGACAGCATCTAAGCAACATCTTACAGACACCGGATTTCAGCAACAAAGACGTCAAAACCTTGGGAGAAGCTTATAACAACCGAACGACAGCCCTGTCTAGCCCGAGAAAACCCGACGAAAACCCATGTGGAACCCTGCATCGCACGTAAACCCTGAACCCGAAAACCCCAATGCCCTACACCCTAAACCCTAAACCCTTAGTGCCCGAAACCGTAAGCCCGAAACCCGTAAACCCGTAAACCCCTGAAACCCCTGAAACCCCTGAAACCCCGGAAACCCCTGAACCCTAAACCCTAAAGCCTGAACCCTAAACCCTAAACCCTAAACTCTACACCCTAAACCCTAAACCCTAAACCCTAAACCCTAAAACCCTGAACCCTAGTAGAGCCCTTCATCGCAGTCAAAGTGCCAGCCGACAGCTCGGCTGCTCGAACTCTGCCGGCACCCCGGCTCAACGCCTCGCGGCTAGGCTTTTCCTTATAGGGGTTTAGGGTTTAGGGTCTAGGGTCTTGGGTTTAGGTTCAGATGATTTTAGGGTTTGGGGCCGAAAGTCTAGGACCCAACTCCCTAAACCTCCCAAAACCCCCTAAGCCCTACACCCTGAGGTTGGGAGTTTAGGGCTTCCGGCTTCGACGAAAGCTGTTAGAGAACACAGAGTCTAAGGTTTCGGGGTTAAGGGTTGGGGTTTGGGGCTTTGAGCACTCTGAAAGTAACCCCGCAGCCCCATTCGATGTATTCATGCCCCTGCCTCGATCGCAAATTGGTAAACGGCCGCATTGGACAGCAGCCCCAGCTGCTCGATAGTCTGTGCAACAAGCGGGAAAATATACTGGTCGAGGGCTTAGGGGTCCTCTAAGAAGTTCTTCTACCATGACGCTGTATGATACGGAGGTTGGGATGTAATTAGGCTTTAGGGCTTTCGGGCCTAGCGGTACGAACGCGTGGCGAACGTGTGTGTTTGTGATTTAGGGCTTCAGGTTTAAATGGAAGCCCTAAACTTCGAACACTATCTGAACCCGATACCATGGTTCGGAAAACGCGTATTCTGGCATGTGTCTGCGCCTAGTCATATCGGGGTTGCCGCTGTTCAGATCTAGCTCTTCCTGAACTGTTTAGGGTTTAGGGTGATACAGGCCGCGAGGGTCCACACACAACTCCTACTTGTTAGTGAAAAAAGTCCTCCCCAAACCATGATTAGAATGGCCTTTTGAGCCAAACAAATTCCATAATGGATTCTTCGGAACCCTTGAGAAGTTTTTATATATAGATAGGGTTTGAAGATAAAGCGCTGTCGCACAGTAGGGTTTCCGGCGATGTTTGGTAAAGAGGGTCCGACAGATTTGTAGCACAGCGATTCGGGCTTCAATAAACCCTATTCTATTTACGACTAAGGCCCTTATACTAAACCCGAACCCCACTCGCGATACTCAGGCCCACAGCTTCTAGGACCCCAAAGCCTAAAGCTCGACTTCCGAACCTCTGAGCCTCAAATCCCCAAAGTCCGCCTAAACCCTAAACCCTGAAACCCTAAGCCCTCTAAAGCCCTAAAACCCTAAATCCCTAAAACCCTAAACCCTAAACCCCTAAACCCTAAAGCCCTGAGCCCCAACCCCGGCCAACCCCTAAAGCCTAAAACCCCGAAACCCCTAGAGCCCTAAACCCTATAACCCCTAAAACCCTAAACCCTAAAATCCCCAAAGCTCCCTGTGTCGATGGGCCTTGTGGAGTTCTAAGACGGCCTCCCAGGCGCTGACCTGCGCCAAGGGCGCTAAAACCGCAGCAGCGGAGATCTCCGTCGCGGCCTGGCAAGGATTCTTGCAAGTTTTTTGGGGGGAGGGAATTAAAACTCCCTAGGCCCTAATGGAGGCACTATAAAGCCTGAGCTCTAGGATTTTTTAAACGTGTAATGCGCTTCAGGTATCTGTTGCAGCAGCAAAACGGTCAAGAGCATTCCCCAAGAGGGGTTGCACAAAGAGCGTAACCTCGGGAATCCCAGCGCTAATTGTCCTCAATCCGGTTTCCAACTTTCTGGGATTTACTATAGGGATGACAAAGCCAGCTTCCTGGATCCTTGTAGTGGGCTATCCTGCCAGGATGAATACCTTCAAGAAGCCCCTCTTATGGACAAGTTTAGGGGTGTAAGCGTTGGGGTCTAGGGTTTAGGGTTTAGGGAGCTACACGCTGAACCTGACTCTTCCCTCAACCCTCATCCGCAGAATCGTATAACTGTGATTAGGATGCTTCAGGAATTGCTGATGATTCCGACCCCGGTATTACTATAGGGGCCTTAATAAGTAGAATAGGGTCTCGGGGCCCAGTATTAGGCCCCCATCTTACATACGGGTTCGACTTGAAGGAATTTGAGGCTTCCAGAGGTGGTGGCAGGAGCTGAGCACCGTACCACACCGCTCCGGCTCATTTCGCTGAAGAGCATCAGGACAGCCCGCCTCGAGCTGATATATCGGCTTAGGGCTGAGGGGGCACAGGGTGTAGGGCCGTACCTCCCGAAATCGATGACATCTGAATTCCTATTGGCCCCCCTTTCTTTGCATCATGGGAACTTCAGTGAGTCATGCTAAGGGATTCGCAGTAAGGCCTTTGCCTAAAGAATGTTGGAGTCTCTATAGCTGGGCTGGATCGACAGATACGGTGTTCAGCTCCCTCACTGTGAGGTGTGTCCGGAAAGTTTCGGGGAAGGGTTTAGGACTCAGGTTGAGGGCTTGGAGTCCCACATGCCGAAGACCAACCTCTGGTGATAGCTGCATGCGCTCGAAGCCAATGTCAAAGCAGCTCTTGAACGTTGGGGACAGGGCCACAATTTCGGTCACCCTAAACCCTAAACTCAAAGCCATAAAGCCTCAAAGGCACCTGGTGCCTAAGTGTTGAAGGACGCAAGAGAAGACAGAATCGGCCAAAGCCGGAGTAGCAGGGACTTCCCCTTTTGGCACCGGTCGCAGCTCACTTTCTCCGAATCTCTTTCTTACTTCACGGACAGGCTGAACTGCATCTTCTTCTCGCCTTTCACAAGAGGGTGATTCGTCTGTGTGTCCAGCACCTCTCTTCTTCAAGAACCACGCCAAAAAAGTTCAAACTTTTTAAGATAGATCTAATATATAGGGACAAAAAGTTTAAAGTTCTCCCATTGGCTATCTAAGGCACCTTCCATGTTTTGCCATCGCTGCTGGTTTCGAAGGTCCAGTCGACAAGGTTCCAGGTAGTATCACCCCAGTAGTGCGACCTGGGAGCCCCTTTCGGTTTAGGGTTTAGGGTTTAGGGTTTAGGGTTTAGGGTTTAGGGTTTAGGAGCCCCTTTGACCCAAAGAAAAATCATGTTTGGTTTGGGGTTTGGGGGGTTTAGGGTTTAGGGGTTTAGGGTTGACCGTGGGTGCATATTATTCTACCAAATGCAAAATGATTCCCAAGGAACGCCCAGTGACAAGGAGTACGAACTTAATGAGACATCTTTATCAAACTTGTACTGCAGCCATCCTGTGGGATTTTTTGACTTGGAGCAGTAGGTGTTTCTTTCCTTAGCTGCCCAGTACCCTGGCCCAAAACAGTTTAAACTTTTCTTTTAGTAGGGGTTTAATATACCAAAAAAGTTCAAAGTTTACCTATTGGGCTCCGAAGTTTCCTTGTTGAAGCCATAGGCGAGACCCCATGCACCGCCCCAGTCTGTCTTGGCGCTGCCGCCCTCAACCGGCGTGGCAAGTTCCGTGCCAGTCAGGTCCGTGAAGTACCTGGGGTTTAGGGTTTAGGGTTAAGGGTTTAGGGTTTTGGATTTAGGGTTTAGGGTTTATGGGGTTAGGGTTTTGGGTTAAGGGCTTTGGGTTAAGCCTACCATTGAAAACCCTAACTAGGGTTTTTGGGTTAAGGGTTTTGGGTTAAGGGTTTTGGGTTAGGCGTACCATTGAAAACCCTAATTAGGGTTTTTAGGCTAAGGGTTTTTTGTTAAGGGTTTGGGGCTTAAGCCTACCATTGAAAACCCTAATTAGGGGTTTTGGGTTAAGGGTTTTGGGGCCAGTTTGGAGATCTAGGGCTTCGGGCTTAGGGTTTTGGAGCTTAGGGTGTTGGAGCTTAGGGTTTAGGGTTTAGGGTTTAGCGTTTAGGGTTTAGGGCTTCGGGCTTAGGGTTTTGGAGTTTAGGGTTTAGGATGATGGCGATGATGGTGACGACGACGACGGAAAAGATAATGACGATGGTGATGCTGATGGCGAAGATGCCATGCTGCAGAAGTCGGTATGCGCATTGTTGCATAATTGTCTAGTTCCATGTGAAAAAATCTTTTAGTAGAAGCAAGAAGCTTGACTGTCGGGTACAGGCCTAGTAATTAAAACCATTGCTTCTGTCATAAGTGGATATCATGATGTGTTTTGGTACCAACACAGCTGTCATCCCAAAACAGAATGCTCAGAAAGCACTTGGTAACATCTTCACGCAAAAAGCGGTCGCGCCCCCGTTCTTCTTCACGTTCAAGCGATAGTAACTGTGAGCATCCGCTTGTTCGACTGCCTCACCTGACAGTTTCGAATCTGCGCTTCGGGTTTGGGGGTATAGGGCTTAAGGAGCCTAGTTTAGGCTTTAGGGTTTGAGGTTTAGGATTTAGACGCTTAGGGCTGGGTTTTGTAGCTTGGGGTTTAGGTTCGGGCTTAGGAGTTTAGGAACTTCCGAAAAAGGATGTTGCAGTGTCTGGGACGAAGCACAAGGATAAGGGCTCCTCGCCAGCTTCAGCTTCGGGGTGCTGCACTGTAGGGGCCTTAACACCTAGAATAGGGTTTTAGGCTCCTTGGTAAGATAGTCCAACGAGTTTAATAAGGAATAGTATTGGTAAATATAGGCTCCTTAACAAAAAATAGTCCAACTATTGTAATAAGGAATAGTATTGGTAATCTTTATCGGCGGGAGTCCGAAAGACATACCGATCCTGTTCCTTAGGGCTCAGAGTCTGCTATACACCAAAGCCCTATAGAATTCATGCTGCCTGCCGAGAGAGTCACATCTAGGACCCTTTGAGAGGCATAATGGTCCACTCATGCCACATTGTGCAAAGAAGCCCTTCTCCGGAGTTCGGGCGTAGGAATTTGCGCAATCTGTAGGATCTGTAATCTTGTCGCACTCATACTCAGGCACGGCCCTCAGGCATGCAGTGCAGCGGCTCAACATAGCAGGGTTGTTGCTACTGAGGTGTCTGCTCCACTTAGATTATTCTGGCCCTATTCCTTCCCAACCTCTGCTCTGCCTCTAGTGTGTATATATATATATATACATATGTATATGTATATGTATATATATATATATTATTTATTTATTTACTGATTTTTCTATTTGTTTATTTGTTTACATTTGTGTACATATATGGTTATATCTGTGTATATCTACATATACACACCAGTGCCGTAACACGAACAGTACACCGTATCGGCAAAAAAACTTGCTTACTACATGCTGGAACTGCTCCTTGAAATGCCTCTCGGGTTTAGGCTTCGGATCTCCGATGCAAATACTAAGTGACCTAAACCCTAAACCCTAAATACCAACAGCCTACCACTGAGAGACCAAGTGGCTTTCCCGTACACGCAGGGGCTGTTGGCAAGCTGAACTTCATTTTCTTCTCCCCTTCCACAAGAGGTTGCCCTTTCTTCGTGTGCAAGATCGTCCAAGTGTTGCCATCGTTGCTCCCCTCAAAGGTGAAATCCACCACGTTCCAGGTAGTGCCACCCCAGTAGTGTGACCTGGAAGCCCCTTTGACACGAAAGAAAAATCATCTTGGGTATGGGGTGTAGGGTTCTTTGTGTGACCGTAGGGTCATATTCTATCAAATGCAACATCTGGGTGGTTGTCAAAATTATGGTGCCTTTTTGGGTCCTTATTATAATACGGTTTGGGACCCTAATTTTGACAACCACCCATATAAATGCCAAGGAAAGCCCAGTGACAGGGCATATGCACCCAAGGACTTCTTCTCACCAAAGTGGTACTGCAACCATCCCGTGGGATGGCCCGACTTAGAGCAGTAGGTATTTCTCTCCTGGGATTTGAGAGAGACTCTTATTTCAGAATGGTTCCTTTAAGGAATAAGTCCAAACATAGTATTACAGTATGGTGCTCCTCTAAACCCTAAACCCTAAACCCTAATCCCCAAAATCTAAAGAACCCAGTGTCCCGGTTGAAGCCATGAGCGATGGACCAACCACCGCCCCACTCATTTTTGGCGCTGCCGCCCGCAACGGGCGTAGTGATCTCGGCATCTTTTGTGTCCTTAGTTTAGGGTCTTCGTATCCTAGACGTCCTAGCCCCAAAAAGGTTAACCTTGTAAATTGTCGTAGGGTATATAAAGGTTTAGGGTTTAGGGTGTAGGGCTTATATACACCCGGAAAGGTTAAAGGTTACCTACTCAGCTACTAAGTGTCATAGAAGTACATCTTGACGCAGAAGGCTGCAGCACCTCCATTCTTCGCGACGTAGAGGCGATAGTAGGAATACCGTGTAGACTGACTCACCTGCGCCCGTTAAACCCTCAGCCCAAAACCCTACATCCTAAACCCTAAACCCTCAACCCTAAATCCTAAACCTGAATCCATGGCACTCCTCTAAGTCGTACTCAAGTAGAACAAGTGTTGAGGACATGTGGCTCTAGAAGGTCTGCGTAAGGGTTACATGCATGCGCTTGCTGCCGGGGTAGCCATAAGGTTTCGGGTGCCCTCCTGCCTTTGGCAGACGGGACCCTCAACCCCGGAACCCTCCGGTCGTAGAGAAGGCAGGAGCTTAGATACTCAGATCGGGAAGGCCCTGTAACTAAAGGAAACTACAGGTGGGGTATTGTGGGGTGTTTAGGGTATTTCGGGCTTATACAAGGCTTCTATAAGGTATGCAGACCGTCTATAAGGTTCCTATAGCGGTAGCTACTCGAGAGTTTAGGGGTTAGGTAGAAAGCCCCTTTAGAGGCGCCAACTCCCATGTCATGTAGGTAATACTCAACAGAGGCAACATCTTAGCTTCGGGGTGCAAGGCCCCGAAGAAAACTATAATCGCGAGATCGATCCTGTAGCCCCAAAACCTACCAACTAGTCTCACTAGTCCCATCACTACGAAGCATATATCCCGTGAAACAATAGGCTATTGGTTCCACAGCTTCTGTTCACGTGCATTTTGGGCCGAGCTCTGCACCCTAAACCCTAAACCCTAAACCCCACGTCTCACCTTGGTGGAGTTCAGGTCGACTTTGATCGCACGCGCCACATTTAGGAGCGAGGCCAGCGCAAGCAACCTGAGTGGTGGGAGGTTTTCGGGATTCAAGGAAAAGTGTAGGCAGGGAGTATTTTTTAGGGCCCTGGATCGCACGTAACTCCTACACCCTGAGTGAAGCCCAAACCCTGACACCCGAACCCCAATTAGCCGCGAAGCCTTAGCCCAAGCCCAAACATTCCGACATCTGAGATCTGAATCCCATGCAGCACCTATAGTCTCCATTGTAGTTCCTTTTTTTGGTTTAACCACATATATACCCAGGATCGTAAAAGGTATCCCAAAAAAGGAACTACAATGGAGACTATAGGCAACAATCAACGAATCCACAGAGCCTGCAAGAGACAGTGCCGAAAACAACGCCTTCAATAGATCCTTGGACTGAAGAACGTCCTGACCGGCTCATAAGCCGAAGAACCCCGCAATATATACATATATAAGTAGATAGATAAATAGATAGATGGATAGAAAGATAGGTAGAAAGATAGATCGATCGATCGATAGAAAGATCGATAGATCGATGTATCGATAGATCGATCGGTAGATACATAAATAGATAGGTAGATAGATAGAGACATAGATAGATAGATAGATAGATAGATAGATAGATACATAGATAGAGATATAGAAAGATAGATAGAAAGATAGCTAGATAGATAGATAGATAGATAGATACATAGATAGATAGATACATAGATAGAGATATAGAAAGATAGATAGAAAGAAAGATAGATAGATAGATAGATAGATAGATGTAGATAGATATAGATAGATATAGATAGATATAGATAGATATAGATAGATATAGATAGATATAGA